TTTAATGTTTTAAATATTGTATGTGTATTTTTTAAATACTATGTAAGGATAATATAAAATTCTACCTATTTACATTATTTTTTTTTATATACATACATGCATATTACATTTTTTCCCTTAAATATAGCAATACGCAAATAACACATTAGTAGATTAGAGCACATATCATAGTTTGGTAATGTAAAAGTTTTTCGAAAAATAAAAAAGAAAATAATTTGTAATAAAAATCGGAATACTCAAATTTATATAACATGAATTTTGATTAGGATTGCCAGATAAACGAATTATAATACCCTATAAAATAATAAATATTAATTTGTTTAATGAATGTCAATAAAATGTCAAATGATAATTTACATTTTGTAGTTGTTGTTGCATTCAAGCTAATCTTGCAAACTTAAAATTTAGTATGCACAATTTTCACAAAGTTTACGAGGGTTTTACATTTACGAAGTCTCATTTGACAGCTAGTTGTGAGGTGGTAGCCAGTGTTCGTTAAAGGTGTATTCGTAAGAATTGAATTTACGAAAATGGGGATTGTTTGATGAACTTGACAAACTTGTTAACTTCATTTTTTATTGTTCATTGCACACGCAAATTCTCTTTTCAGTTTATGAAATTTGATTTTCATTTGTACTTTCATGACAATTTCAATTAACTGGTAATCCTATTAATTATTCATGATTATACATACATACATACATAAAAATTTGTATAAGAAAGGACATTTTTCTTGTTACAATTAGAATGTCACTTTTTTTTTGTTTATGTATACTTTATTTGTAGAACACACTATATAATATAATCATGCCCACCTTCTCTACATGAAAAAGAAGGATTAATGTAGAAGAAACAAAACTAGAAAAAATTAAAAAAAAAAAACAGGCTAAAAACAAAAAAAAATTAGGAGAGAGAAAGAAACAAATGCAGGAAAATTAATATTACAGAGAAGTACCAAGGATATTTTGAAAAAGAATAAAGATTAATCGAAATCCTTACTGCTCTTGATATTTTATGCGAATGTATGTAGGAATACGAGATTAGGACCTTTTCTGTTTTTTTTTCCTCTCTTTTAGTTTTAATTTTTTTTGATTGTACAAATATACAAATGTATGAATGTATGTAGATGCCAATAAGGATTGAAAATAAAATAACTAAAGTTATCAGGATTTTTGTAGAAAACACAGTAAATGTGTGTGTATGTACAAGTGTGTACAAGTACCGAAAAAAGAAGGCTGTTATTTAAATGTTATCTTTATTGGAGGGTAGAAAAATTTTTTGAGACAATTCTTGCGTGTTGGATATTGAAAATATGCAAATGTGTAAATGTGTGTATATGTGTATAATGTGTTTATTTAATGAATAAAAAATGAAGAAAATAAAATCTACAAAAAAAATTTATTTTAGACGATGTTTAAGTATAGTAAATTTTTATTTTTCTTTTTACTTCTGTTTATTTTGTTTTTCACTCTTATGTTATACTGAATTTGGTTAAAATAAGGATGCTTATACTCTTTAAAAGGATAAAGGTCGAATTTGAATGAATTTTGTTTTTTACATCTTATGTTATTGAAAACTTTACCTATATGAACAACTTGTATGTACACTTATGATTTTGCCATGTAAATTTTTATTTTTTATTATATAGAACCTCTTTGATCCTATGGTGATATGGTGATTTTATATGCTAGTGATCCGATTTTGTATTTTATTGCCCAATTGTTCCTCTGGGGTTTTTTTTTTTGGATAATTCACGTTGCGATCAATTTGCTTTGAAATATTTTTTCTTCTTTTTTTTTAGTCAAATATCTTCAAAAATTTTTCCTTTCCAAATATTTGTTTATGTCCTATGTGTTATTAAATTATGAAGATCTCAGAATTTTCATATTTTGAATAAATATTTTAAAAAAGGGAGGAATTGTGTAAACATAAAATGAGAAAGGAGAAAATATTGGAATTTTTTTAAAATTTTATTTATTTATGACACATGTATAACGTGATTTCTATATTATTATAATTCAGAAATTGAGGTATTGAAGAGGTATATAGTATATGTTATATGTATTTGGAGAGCAGAATTGTATATGCACATATACATATGTAAAATTTTCTTAAGAACGTTCCTAATTTTTTTGATTTAATTTTTCAAAGTTTTCAATTTATAAACTATTTACAAAAATGATAGAAGCAAGTAGATGTTAACTTCCTAAGAAGCAGGTGTTTCAATAAATTTCGTAAAGCGCATTTTTGAAGCTGTATGCTGATAAAGATAAAATTTTTTTCTGTAATTATGCATATCACTGGATGCCAAGCCAAATTACAAGAGAAATTTCAAGATTTTGTTATATATATTTGCACAACAAGTCATGGAGTCTTATGGGTATGTAAAGTCATCAGTTACGAGAAAAATCTTGACATTTAACAAATTTGTAATTTGTACTAAATAATGGGACTATACATTTATTACATGGCACCATGAGAGTGAATGAATGTTGAAATATTACAAAAAATTTTTTTTATATAAATTAAATGTCTTCTACATGCGAACCATTAAAAGTTTCTGCATACATATCTGCTGCAACTTAATTTAAAATAAAGCTTAGGTGTTTTGTATTGTAATCACCATACAGTTTATTTTTATATATTTATGTCCAGGAAACACAACGATTTTAATCGAAGAATAGTTGCAAATGTAAGCATTAAGTTGAAAATTGCATATCAGCAGGAGTACAAGCAATTGTTTAATTATTTTTTACAAAACTAAGTTACGAAATTTTTTTTTCTATACTGAGTTACTTAAGCCAGAAAGTTTTAATTATTTTTGTTGCTTGTTGCTACAAATAGGTCAAATTCATATCTAGCCTATATAAAACTTTTATAATTTCAATGTAAGAGCAGAAAAATTGTGTTTATTTTTGATTAAAATTTACACATACTAGTGAAGAGTAGTGTTATTAGTTATGGACCAAATTAACGTTTAAAGTTATTCATTAAAAAATTAATATTATTTTTCCAAAATAAATCGAGAATAAAGCATAACTTTTAATTTAATCTTTATTTAAGTACTATGTGGAATTATCTAGGATTTGTCATTACCACGTTGAACACAAATTTTTTCATTAAAATCAAATATAAATTATTTAGTTTAGAGCAAGTTATTTTATTTGTCAACATGGAAGAAAATTTGTGAATTAACAACAAATTAATGGTACTATTAATTTTTTTTCCCATATTTACCAATATTTTTTTACCTAGTTTAATGGTTTAATTAAAAAAAAAACAATAAATTACTTCATAACTTGCAAACATTGAAGCGATTTATGTAATATTTATGTAACACTGAAAATCTATGTAAATATTTTTGACTGCAAATTAAGTATAAATATCAAGAAAAAGTTTGAAATTTAAAATGAAGGTACATTTGTTAATAATTGAAGTTTCATTACTTAAATTTTAAATCAATTAAATTCTATTAAATTTGTACATTTATAATTTTCATAAATATTTGTATGTACATAATGCATATATCGCACATTTGCGAGAAAAATGACATAAGTCAAAATGCAGAGTCACAAACTTGCTTTTATTACTATTATATTTTAATATATAAGTAAGATTTCCTGTAACAAAATAATACAGAAAATTTGTTCATATACTTGTAGACTAGTTCTATACCAACATTTTTTAAGCCTTCGATAGTAATTTGCACTGGGCTATATACCTGAATACTTGAAATTCCGGAAGTCGAAGTTATGTTTTTGAGTTGTGACATATTCTTCCCAATGTGCAATATATATGGTATACCATTAATATGTTTATAGTTATACTAATGTCATAATTTTAATATCAAAAAGCTATTAAAAAAGTAATAAAATATATAGTAGGGGCAATAAATCATGGAAAGGCAGTTAATTTGATTTAATGCGGAAGCTGTTAATAAAAAAATGCAATATTGAACTTATAAATTGAAAATTTATCTACATACTTACATATATATGTAAGTACGAGTACATAGTTAATATTTTTTTAAGTAAAAAAATTAAAAGCAAAATTTATATTGCAATTTTTATTGGAATTTTTGCCTCGTTTTGAAATCCGAGTAAAATTTCGCTGCAAATGCTTTGAAAAATTGGTCTTTTTTTATATTCCATGCAATTTTGAAAATTTTCGGAATTTATCGAAATATTAAATATTCGGTTATTTTCGGAATCAAATGTTTATATTTTAAATAAATTTTGATAAAACTAAATCTATAGTAATAAATGATACAACAAAAACTTTATTTAAAGTTATGATTGGTAAAACATCTATATTGAAAGATTTAGTTCAATTACATATGTGGATGTTATAATAGATGATAATTTTGCATTTGACAAGCATGAATATTGCGTTAACAACAAAATAGCCCATAAAATGGGACACTTATGTAAAATAAAGAGTCTGTTGACTGTAAATAGTGCTGCACTAATTTATAATAAAATAATTTTGCCTTATTTAGACTTTTGCGCATCTATGTGTGAAAAAATCTTAAATGCAACAGAAGAACGAGTATTCATCTAAATTTTGTTTGGAAAGCAACCTAATACAGTTGAAGGTCATGCGATATTCTTCGATTGCCATCATTTAGAGGAAATAATACCCAGAATAATAACAGAGGTGTTCAGCCGTGAAATAATCTACCATTAGAAATGAGAAACAAAACAAGCTTAAATAATTTTAAAAATTGTGTTTTAAATCTTTATCTTTAATATTCCTTAAATTATCCTTAATAATTGAAGATATAAATTAACATAAATGAACTTATTAATTTGAGAGCATTGAATTAGAAATGAATTTTATGAAGTTTGTACCACGAATCGTAAACAGTATTCATATTAATAATTATTAAATTTACTAATTAATTTAATTTTTTATTAATAATTATTTAATAATTTTTAATAATTACATTCAATTATTAAAAAAAAATAATATAATAAATTATTTTTTGTTTTTTTTTTCAGAGTCTTGGTCATCCATCGGTTTTAACTAAAACTAGTGAATCAGAAGTTGTTTTAAAATATTATAATGGTAGCCCTTGCACAGATAATCCAAGTATAAATTTTTCATCATCAATTAAATTTTATTGTGATCATAAAATGGGAAAGGTAAGTTTATAAAAAGCATATTATGTGGGGGCTTTCGATAATTTAGACATGCATTTTTACACATACATACAAGTTTACAGATTTGTAACTTCCTCCGAAAATTATTCAATATCCAATAAATTTTTCTTATGCATTTCTTCTAATTCATAAAAATTCCTTTAGAACTTTAAGGAATAACCTTAATTTTCGAACATGCTATTTTAGCAGATTTTGTTTGGATTTATCGATTCAATTAAAACTGAATTATCAAAAATTTTCTATATTTAGTCACAATACGTGGACATACATACAATTATTTAATATTTTTGTATGTGTTAGTCTATTCTAATTTGTAATATTTATTGAAGAATTATTTTTAAAGAATCAACTTAGTATATAAATAATAATTCTAAATCGCAAGATCGTTTTTTCTTACGAGTTGTTCTTCTCAGTCGTAATTCAATGTATTTTATATTGTTTTACATTCCAATTTAATATGGATATGCATGTATATATATATGTATATGTATTTGTGTATGTGGTATAAATATTTATTTTATTTGATATATACAAGTAGTATGCATTTATATAAAATATGTTTTCAAAAGCATTGTATGTTTATTATTATTGCTTATACAATTACAGGGTTTACCGATACTTCAATCAATAATCGACAAATGTCATTATGAATTCAATTGGGCTACAAATGTAATTTGTCCACAACATTCAGTTAAATTTAATGTTGACACATGTGAAATAATTAATGATGTCATTGATGTTAAATTTGATTTAAAGGATGCAAAATTTGCTGGTGGTAATGGAAAAATAACGGTAAATATATGTGTATACTTTATCATTTAAAAAATTTAATACAAATTAAATTGTATGAAATTTACTTGTATATGTTATACATATGATGTGCTGTTTACTTACATATATGCATAATATGCACTCATACATGAGAAGAGTACTTGTTTTTTTTTTGTCAAAGAATTCAATTAAAATTAAAAACCCGGAAATTAGTTTTATTTCAATTTAAGGTTTAGTTTGATTATTTGTGAAAAAAAAAAATTAATTTTATTTTGCGAATTAAATTAATTATTTATGTCTATGTAATTTGATTTTTCAATATTAAATATCCAAAAAATTTAATTTAAAAATATAATTTTTGTTATGTCAATTTAACTAGAGCAGTACTCAAGTAGCTTTGTAATATTAACTTTGCGGTATATTGGGCTCATTTATTTGCAAAGAAAGCTTGGTTCCTTTTTTTCAACAGGCTGCAGGTATATTTGCACCCCCTTCCCCGTTAAGAACAAAGAATGAAAACCGACGTTTTTTGCTGTCATTCTGAATGAGAATTCAACGAAACTACATGATCAAATTCTCATTTGTTAATGTGGAAACAGGATCGGTTTAAATAAATAATTTGTTATTAATATTTGATCAATTAATTTTATTCTAATTTATTTGATATCCAAGTTTAACATAAATAAAAATTTGGTTAGATTTGGTTTCTGTCACTTACATTATTAACACTGTAAAACGTGAAAATGAAAAATTTCACAAATATTTGGCCGAAGGCTTTAAATAAAAAAATTAATTACCTATAATGGATAATTTATTTACATATTGTCGATAGTGAAATGCAAAGCTCTAATAAGTAATAAATTTTTCAAAATCCTTTTTTTTTTACATCAATACAAATTTCAAATTGTCTTCTTTGTGTGCTGTAGATTTCAGTGCCGTACGTTCATTGACTTGCTAGATCGCGGTAAGGTTTATATAGGTTATTGAAATAGAAAACAAATGGGCAAACTTTAAGAATGCCCGCCTGTAAAATTTTAAATTTGCCACTTAGCATATCTCTGCACTTCACCATCGTTATATATAGATATGTACTTGAACACACACACGTGTACGCAGTTATATAATTTTTCATGTGCTTATATAAATATTTGTTTTAAATTAAGTTAATTACTTTATGTAATTGAATTCTTTAACAATATTTTTATAATTTGAATTTTATAAATGTAATTTTGTTTTTTTTTTCTTTTAATTTAAATAAAATTTAATTATATATTTTAATTTTTAATTATTTGTTTTAATACAATATTATTACTCTTTTATTATTTTTCTTATTTTTTGGCAAATTTTAAAAGGCAAAAAGTAATGGCATTGATGAAATAATTGATCTATGCAATTATAAGAATACAAAAGCAAATGTTGATTATTCTCACTCTATGGTAACATTGTTTTTCAAATTGAATAAAAAATGTGCTGGACAAGGTAAGAATTATTTTTGTATATTTTAATTACTTTTTTTACTGAAAAATTTGCGATTTGTTTCAAATTAAAGAATTTTATGTAAAAAAACTTATACTTTATAATTAAACTTAATTCCAGTCTGTTCATCAAATATCTGCGCTTTAAACTGCACTCGATTTTATTAAGAAACTTGTTTCTCTATGAAAAATTTTATTTTCCTCTTAAAATTTTTCATAATCCTATACAAAAACTGATTATTGGTAATTTGGCGTATAGCAAAAGCAGAAGTTTAGAATTTCAGTTTATGTTATCGGAATTCCCTGAAAATTTAGTTTCGGTAGCAATCAGAAGTCTAGGTTTAAATTACAAGGAATTCCATCAATGAGTGGATATCGACGGTTTCAAATAGAACTATTCTAAGTAGACTTACAATAATAGTTTTCCCTCCTTCAATTAATGCTCTATCACCATGCGCATATACCTATAAATTTTTGTACACCTAACTCTTCTTTACATTTGAAAACATTGCTTTTTATCATATGGTGTTTTTATACATGCAATTAATTTTAAAATAAATTTTAAATCGACAAAATGTAAAATCAGCTTCTAGTTCGATTTCCGAGCCCTGATATTTCCAAAAAACTTACAATTTTATTGCTTTAGCAACCCGAATTTTGAATATTAAATTTCAAGGAAATTGATTAATTTTATTTTAAAATCGTAAACAAACATTTCATAACTTCTTTAAATGTTTGCTTAGCAACTACTGCTACACATTATGCATTCATTAGCATAGAATTCTACTAGAAATAAAGTTTTTGACAGACAAATTATTAACACGGTCTTTCATAAATTACAAAAAAATTTCCACTATTCTCACTTGTAAGCACGCTATATACGAACAAGTGTTTGCATTTATTGTACTTTCACAAAATCTTTTAATCCCATTTATTTTTGAAAAAATCATTGAATTGAATAATCCATGAACTGGAGTTCTCATTAAACATTTTTCAAATTGGAACTTGAAGCATTTAGGTGCGTATTTAACAAACTTTTCAAATCTAAATGCATTTGGTGTGTTTAATTAATTTTTAATTAAAAGAATTTCGAACTATGCATATTTAACCATTCTGATCCCAATTCAATACCAATATCATTCCTGCTATTCAAGAACCTGATTATGAACTAGCGATATTTATTTAATATTGCATTTTGTTCTATTATTTTAGTTTGACTTCTATAAATCCATTTAAAATGCTACATGCAGATTTTTTTTTGTATTCGAAAATTACCATGATTTTCATTTGAATTAAATATTTATTGAACTTTAATTGAATGTTTTAAATTTTGCATTTTTTTTCCAATATTCATTTTTATTTAAACAGTTATTAACTTTTTAATTTTGGATGTTCAATTTTTAATCGACAAATTGAATTATAAATGAAATTTGAAGTTTTAATTAGAATAGACATTTAATTTTTTCTTTTTGTTATAAAAAGGTACTAAAAAATAAAAAAAAATTGCGTTTTATTTGAAAAAGTTTTTAGTTTTTTACTATTTAGTGTTATAGAAAGTTTTTTAGTGTTCGTTTATAACTCACATTTAAATTTGTGATTCTTTTATGTTTTTGATTGAAAAATAGAGTGTTTTCAGGGTTTAATTCAAATCATGAAACTCCAAATACATTTGTCGTTAATAATTAAAAAATTCATAAATTTTATATTTGGTAGAATTTGTAACGAAAAGTACAAAGTCTAGATTTAGTTTAAAGAGAGGGAACTTCCATAATTTCGGAATTCTATTGTTATGTATTGTATTGAGTAAATTTCGGCTATGAAAATTACCTAACAAGCTTTCAACAAAATTGTTCCTTAACATAAAGCTAAAAATTACCTAATTCGACTCAACCAGTTTTCCTATATGATCAAAAACGTACATATTTCTACAATAACAATTGTAAACTTTAAGCATTCTTCTTCATATTTAAAAGCATTTATTTAAATTTCCTCGAATTTTGAATGTTAAATTCTAAATAATATGAAACATTTCATTTATATATAAAATTATTAAGATAATTCCCCTATAGAGGGAATAACATACAGGCTAGAGACTCTCTTCATTTACAGGGTAATTTTGCCCTGTTCTGGGGAGCGCTTAGAATCTCCAGGACGGCTACTTTCGCTAAACGATTTGAGCTAGACACAAAGTGACACAATTTAAAATGCAAAACGCAAATGTACGTTCTCGTAAGAAATAAAATTGAAAAACATAAATAAGGGCCACTTTAATTATTCTAAAATCTTTAATCATTCTTAAATGTAATAACACTTGCTTTTTTTCCGGAATATCGAAATTATTGGATATATTTCGCAGAGTTTTTTCTTTTAATAGCATAACTGCGATTAGATTCCTCTTTTTTATCGCTGAAATATAATGCCACACTCTCCATTACTTTTATAAATATTTAAGTATATAAGAAATATATTTCATCTATTCTAATAAAATTTCTTAAATTTTTTGAAATAAAACTTCCACTAATTTTGTTAAGTTTATTATTTTCATCTGTACAGAGAAGAATTGTGTGAATCAAAAGTTTTTTTGAAAATAGTATTTGTGCGGTAGCACCTCCATTTCTTACATGGTACCAATCTATTTACGCATCGGAATTAAATGCGTACAAATTTTTACTTGGTAGGCCCCACAGTTGTATCTTAAATGCTTTGCGTAATATTTACGTTTTATTGTTTCTATTTCATTTATTATTGTTTATCATTTGAACCTTTAGTATGCTTTACGAGATCTTACGCCAGAGGGTCGTTACAACCTCTATATCAATATTTATATAAAGAAGAGAATAACCTTTAGGTAGGCAAGCAAATGTGTTATTAGATATTGCAGCTCTAAAATAATTTCGAAACCAATTACATGAACTTTTTTCTATAACATATTTTCTTTTAAATTGCATTTAAAAAAAATTTTCCCTATTTTTTTTTTGATTTTTATTAATAAAACGGGATAAAAAAACCCAAACAACAAAACTGGCATGGCCTGTCTGTACTCCGTTTTTTAGTTAAATTTTCTCTTGTGTTTTTTGTTACTCTTATATAATCAAACGTTTTTGTATAACATTTCAATTGGCGTATCTGAAAAGAAACAAAAAAAAACAAAATTCAAAAAGCCATTAGCTTCTGTATCAAAATCCCTGGGTCTAAATTTAATAAAACTAGGAGTTTTTTTTCCTGATTTTCATTTGCTTGTGTTGTTAACTATTAATATAAAGGGTTAGATTTTTTTTATTTAATTTTTCCTATTTTTTTTCAGAATTACCAAACAATTTGCGAACTGAATAAATAAAAAAAAGAGAAATATATTAAAAAAGAAACAAAGTAATGAAAAATCAATTTATAGTCCTTATAACAATTGCACTCACAAGAGATTTTCAATATGCGTTGCTTTTATTTATGCACCCAACATTTTTTGATATGAGTTTTCCATATAGAAAATGCATAAAAGTGTTCTGGACTTTAAAATTATTATTTTGCTTTCATTGAAATTCTGGATGAAGTCAGGGTAGCACTCAAAAAAAGCTATGGTGCCTCTGAAAATTTTGAAAAGGATTCGTTTCTTGCTTTTCAAACGATCGGCCAATCTTTCTAATTGTTGTACTTTTTTTTATAGACCTCGGAAATTAAATTGCGCTGCGGAATTTTCAGAGTTATAATTTTGTTAAGCATTTAATTTGTATCAATAACTGAAATTGGCAAAAAACTGGGTTATCGGGTTTTGGCAAATTTCCGCATAATTCTTCTCGGGTGCTACTTTATGCCATTTGTTTCGTTTAACCTTTTTAATCCGAAACCCTTTTGCCATTTGTTTATAAAGTAAGTTTATTGAAAAAAATTCACGTCAACGGGATATCTTTTTTTTTCATCTACAGCAAATAAGTGAGTTTTATACGAGTAAATTGAGAAACTCAAAAGACTGGACGCGATTCTACATTTGAATTCGGAAATTCTTTTATACGTTGAATTACATATTAATTCTCCTCTACTTGTTTATGTCGTCTTTAACAAAGTGCACTTATTCCTCTCTTCCATCTCTGTCTATTTCATTTTCATATATAAAATTATTTATTTTTAATTGATTCAAGAGAAGAAGAAAAGCAGTTTGGTGAAAGTAAATTTCATTTTGTTCCAGACTGGATTTTTTTATTCCACTTCAGTGATCCGATATGCACATATTGATATACTTAGAATTTTAATATTTACCATACGATTTTGATATATCAAATTGCCTATTAGAATCCCAATATTTGTATACATACATTACTGCACATATATATATATGAACATTTATGTGAATTCTTTGAAATACAAATACACGAATTGAACAAAATGGAATCGACTATCTAAATCATGCATCATTGTAATTACCGTTCTATAATAAGTGATGTATTTTAAAGCAATATATACGAAGGACATAAAAATCCGCTTAGATGTGGAATTGTTGTGTAGTTCTAGTTATAGTTTTCATTGAATTCATACATTACCAGTAAAATGGTGTGATTTAAATTTTTTCTGGAATTATTTGTATTGATGTTATTATGACCGACCATATATTGAACTTAAAATGTTTGAGTGAAATTGTGTACGGTATACGAAGCAAAACATAAGACTCTTAAAGATTTTTAAAATCACATTAAATTTTACGGGCATAATTTAAAAATTGTCTGATTAATGCAGTTTAAATGGTAAACTTCAACAATTGTGCAGGTGAATTGAGAGAGCTGAGCTAAACTTTGAGAGAAATATTAGACTTTCATACGAAAGACAAGAGAAATATTTTTAATCTTTGTTGAATTTTCGATTTTTTGAATTTCATATTGTCCGAATTTCCAAATTTGAATTTTTCAGGAGGCTAAGTTTTGGCATCTCATTTTTAATAATAATATCGAAACAAATTGCAAAGAAGTAAGCTCGCTACGGTGTACAGTACTTGACTTGTCAACACCAATTAATATTGTCATTATGCTGTGGTAAAAATGGATTTATTTATTCAGAGGAACCATGGTAACTTAGTAATCACTGAGCTATAAAGATGATAACAAACTTCTCTTGAGCTTAATGAGAGAGTTCTAGTATATGCACCTTAAATTTCATAAATTGTATTCCACATTTTTCTAACAATGTTTTCAAAATTTTTGAAATGCTTTTAATAAATGACTGCTGTTTCTGATTGTTTTTTTTTTCAAATATTCCAATTGAACTGCACATTCTGTCACTTGCTACAAGGATTTATCAATGTTCAAACGTATGTAGATATGCGTACAAAAGTAAAGGATTTCGTAAATGGAAAAAAAAATTTATAATTGATGAATTTAGTATCATTAATTTCCTATTGATATTTGCTTTCTAGATGATTTCTGTGTCATGTGCTATTTGGAAATTTATTGACAAAATTTTTTTTTAAGTTTACTTTTAACTTATGTAACTTAAGTTTTACATGGAATTATATTTAGGTTAAAAGATTCTGGACTAAAAGATTTTAAAATTTAAATAAATAGAGCTGTGCTAGAAAATTTTATAATTTTAAATTTATTCAATATAAAATTTAGATGAAAATTTTCATTTGATTTTTCAGAATTGTCATTAATTCTACATGTTTACATAATGTGTTGATTTATTTTTAATTTCAGATTCTAATCAAATGTTAATCCAATTGAATCTAATATGTGCACCAAGTGAAAATCGGACAACATTACCGGTGGTAAGTTTTTTAATTTTTTGGCTTTTAATTTAAAATTTATTTGACAATTAAATCTGATGAAATTTATGTGATGATTAAATGAATTAACGATTGCAGAATTTACAAATTTTTTCAAAAGTACTGTTTTTGGATGCAAAAAAATATCTTATTATTTGGGAAAAATGTCAAAATTTTCCTTCAAGTGGGGTTATGAAATATATAAAGTTCTAATGCTTGATGACTAAAGTAATAAAAATTAGAATATGGATTTCTGCATCATTTTCATGCCTATCATTGGTCATATCTATTGATTAGAATCAGCATAAATGATTGAGAAATCGTTGTTTCTCAAATTTCATACCCGGTGCGGGTATGAGGCAAAAACTGGCAGAGTTATCTTGTGGAAATTAAATCAGTTTTGTAATGCGATTTTCTCATCTGTCTCTAATTTAAGCATGTGAGACAATAAGATGAAAGTAAAATAATCTTACAATGCTACAAATGTTTAAAAGAAGCCACTAGGTGTCGTAATATGAAAAAGTTGAACAGTATGTACAAATAAAGATTAACACTATGAAAGTTAGAGGAAGGGTACTGTTTCCATGTTTATTTTTATTTAGCTTTAGTTTTAGAATATCATAAACATTGATTTTACAGCATCGTTGGAGGAAAAGACTCGTTTACCATACCTGAGATCTATGGCTAAAACAAATTGTTCTCAAATATCTTTAAAACTCTTATATGCAATAAATTTTTTTTTAGGTATTGAAACTTGCATTCTATTGTGATATTATCAAATTTTAAAATGTGTTTATTTAAAAAAAACTCAAATATTTTATTTTGCATTGGAAAAATAATTTTATGGAAATCTTAAAATAAGTCTATAGAATTCATTAAAAATTTTCAAAGTGTTTTGTTTGTACTTATATGGTGACTAATATACTATGCATGCAGAAAAGTCCTAATGAAAGACTAAATATCTTTTTATAAAGAAAATTTTAACTACTTGTATATTAAAATAAATACCGAAAAATTTACTTATTCATTATTGTCTTTTGAAAAAGTAAATATTTGAGACTGCAATTAGTATATTTTAATTTTATGTTATTCTTTTAAAACTATATTTGAAATGGTCTTATATTGTTCTCTAGAATTTAAAAGTTAAAATATTCTGTGGTATTTATTGTGTATGGCAATTCGTATATAAATATATGAAAAATTTGAAAACTTGAATCTTTATAAAGGAAAATAAAAATTCTCTATGTGTTTGGAATTTTTAAGGGTAATCCTTAAATTACTTTTCTACATACTTAATAGAATTTTTCTTAAGATACTTAATGGAATCAAAATTTCTTAAAATGTGGCACCTTAATAATAAGTTGTTAATTATTAGCAAAGCCAGCTTCAATAACAGTTAGTTTTGTAAAACATTTTATTGTGTATGGTGAAAAGAACAACGTTTAAATTTAAATACCAATGGCTTACTTCATAGAAAAATAAGTAATTATTTATTACTTATTCTCTATTTCTCTGTGCTTACTTTTATTTTGTTGGTTTATAATGCTATTTCGTTTTATGGATTTACTAGAATACATTGGAGTAAAACAGTACATGAATTATAAAACGCACAATTTTGAACCTGACCTCATTATTTAAATTTCGGAGAAAGAACTTTTGAACTTGTACAATATGTAAATGTGAGTGCAATTTAATTTGGAACAGTCAACTGTGGATGTAATATTAAAACTTTGTGTAAAACTCAACCAGTAATGCAAAATCAATGAAGGTGAAGGTGAATTACATATTCTTTTCACCTAAATTTTTAAACTAACTTCGGTATAATTTGACTGCATCTCATCTGGTTATATTGCTCCAGTTCAGTGTATTGAAAGCTTTAAACTTCATTTAACACTGTCTTTCTTAAAGTTTACACAAAAGAATTGATGAGATATGATGTGTATAGTTTTTAACATGTAGGCTAGTGTATAACGGCTGATTTTCGGAGTTTTAGTGTTTTATCAGTATTCATTTATATTGCAGAATTGTGCCCGAAGCTGAAATAATCTAATATCACTTTCACTTAATTTTACTCTTTTTCCTTGCAATTTTAATATGCATAAGTTTGTTTTAATGAAAACCCCTAAATAGGACAATTTATATTTGTAATATTTGTATTGAATTTTTTGTGTTTATCTTATTAAAAAATTTTAAGAAGTTGTTTTTTGGCTGATGTTTCTTTATTAAATAAAGCACAAAAGGAATAAGAATAACAACAGAAAATTGTAAGTTTTGTGATTTTGCCAATAATCTTTTTTTTCTTCAAAGACTTTAATTTCGTTCCAGATAATTTTCAAGTAGATTTTTTTTTTGTCGAAAAATTTCTATTCAAAGCAAACTTGTTTTTTTTTTTATGAATTTGAATTTAACTAAATTAAATAATAGTGTAAGAATTTTTTAAGTTTTTTCTGTTATTTATTTAAAAAATGGTATAGAAATGTTGATTTTCTTCTTAATATTAAAGAAAGGAATCGAAAATTTTGTTTAATAAAAAGAAACTTGGCAATTCTTGAACATTATTGTGTCTTTTTTGCCTTCCACTCGTTATGTTAAATATGTATATGTAAATATACCTTGATCGTTTGTGAATTCTAAAAAATATGCTTCGAAAAAATGTAAGTATAACAGTTTAACTTTCGCATCAAAGTGCATACGTACGTAATATGTTAATTTTCCCAATGTAATGCTCATTACTTTCTAAGTTGGTGTTATTCTAACTGAAATACACATTTTGAATAAATATGTTAACTACATATGGTAATTATACATCGATGAGTTGTAAATTTAATTTTCCAATACAATATAATTGAATACGTTCTGTTGTAAGAGTATTTTTTGGAGTATAAATTTTAAGTAAAACTTTTTAAAGAACATGTTGCATTAATGTTAAATTTCATGAATAGTTTCTTGTCGAAATGTAATTTTATTATTATGAATCCGAGATTACCTATAAAATGAAATGCCTGAAATAAACATTCACCATTTTGTTTTGCAATTATAATTTATTAAATTTAATTTCGCTTTGAACAAAAAAGAATTTTTTGGAGAACACGTAATGGATAAAATTGAAAATGAAAATTATTTTTTAATATTTAGTTGTGTTTTTTAAATTTTCAATGGCGCCCCTGTTTTCCTGCGCCCATGCTTTTGCAAATGCTTTTTATGTAAATATGATAGATTCGACACTGTTTCAACTGCACATAGCTTTTTTTCCCTATTCTAAATACTTTCAAATTCATTAGAATAAAGGAAAAAACTTTAAAATTTTTTTAATAATATTTTATCACTTTTTCATTCTAGTGTAAAACGCTGAAATTAGAAAATTTAATTTTTAATTTTTATTAATAAATATTTTTTATTGTGAAAAAAAAAGTTTTATTTTTGTAAAATAATTTTGGTCCTATTTTAGTTTTATTTTTGTTATGCAAAAATAAAAATAAATGAAGGTTTTTTTCAATTATATGAAGGCTCAACGGCAGCATAATCTACTGCAACATGCAGGCTATTGCAAAAGAAAATTTTAGATTAAAAAAGAAAACCATTACAGAATTTTTCTTTTTCTGAACATCCTATTTTTTTGTGTCTATTTATTTGTAAAATATTCTTCTAACCTTATTTTTCTATTTTCAAAAATTTTATTTAATTTTTGTATAAAAAAAAATTTGTATAAAATTTTCGTATATTTACATTTGGTATTTGTGTTAGAAAAATTTTATTTTACGTACAAACAAAACTATTGAAATATAAAAATCCGGAATTAAGAAAATTATTTTCTTTTCCAGAAAGAAAATTTAAAAAAAAAAGGGGGAAATCTTAAAAGAAGTCAGAATATTAAGTACAAGGTGTTTACGTTTTAAATAAATTTGTTAATCCAGAAATAAAATGTTCTTTTTTATATGTAATGACTCCAGTTTTTCGAATGCATATGATAAAATTAATTAAATTCAGATTTATGAGACTGACAATATGATATTCGGAGTTTTGATTAAATTGTAAAGACATTTTAAGAAACATTCCTAAAATCAATAACTTTAAGAATGTGCAACAACTTTTATCAGCGTTGATTGACGTTTTTCCTCATTTTTCATAGTTACGCATATTATACATTCATAGCAAAAATTTAATGACATTTATATCTGTCATTTTATGTTCTATACTTTTACTTTACTCATGAGATGGTATGGGTTCATAGTTTTGCATTTCAGCACTATAACTTGAATGAATGAATAAAATGTATAAAACAGATTTTCCAGAATATTCGGAATGAATTAACAAAACGAATAACTTTCGGATGCGTTCGGAATGAATAACTTACGAATTTCGGATTTTCTTTCAGAATAAATTTGGGGAGTATTTAATAAAAGAAAGAATATTTTTATTTTTAATACATATATTTTTCAAAATTGCAACTGATAATGGTAATTTTTAAGCGACAAGCTGCCACCATGTTACTACATAAACAATGCAATATATAAAATTTATTTTAATTTTAGGTATTTTGCTTGAGATTTAGATTGATTTGTTGAGTTAAGCGAGATAAGCCTTGGTTGAATTAGAGAAATATTTATAAACTACAATACACGCATGAATACTCTTCATGACCTCAACAGAGTTCAACAGAGATAATAGAAATAAAATAAATAACGTTATAAGTCGTTAACGTAAGAGACAAACTAAAAGTTATATCGAATCAAAATTGAATATCTCTGAGTTTGTGGATAGTTTCAAACTATTGATGATCTTTTAAATTATCCCAAATTGCAAAATTTTCGGTAATACTCGTATTAGAAAAGAAAATTTTCTCTTTTCAAAATATAAAAAAAAATGTTATTTATTCTAATTTTTTCTAATCAAAAGCAGGAAAAGAAACATTAATCTCTTCATTGTTGAATTCAATTTTCTTTTTCTTCTCTAATGAAAAACTTTATTGTTTGTTTGTTTGTTTGTTAAAAAATTGAATTATCATAAATCGTTTTGTAAAGAAAACAAAAACCTTAAGAGTTTAAGCCTTTTTTTTTTTTTGCAAA